GTCATCTGCATATCTGAGGTTATTGATATTTCTCCCGGCAATCTTGATTCCAGCTTGTGCTTCTTCCAGCCCAGCATTTCTCATGATGTACTCTGCATATAAGTTAAATAAGCAGGGTGACAATATACAGCCTTGACGTACTCCTTTTCCTATTTGGAACCAGTCTGTTGTTCCATGTCCAGTTCTAACTGTTGCTTCCTGACCTGCATACAGGTTTCTCAAGAGGCAGGTCAGGTGGTCTGGTATTCCCATCTCTTTCAGAATTTTCCACAGTTTATTGTGATCCACACAGTCAAAGGCTTTGGCATAATCAATAAAGCAGAAATAGATGTTTTTCTGGAACTCTCTTGCTTTTTCGATGATCCAGTGGATGTTGGCAATTTGATCTCTGGTTGCTCTGCCTTTTCTAAAACCAGCTTGAACATCTGGAAGTTCACGGTTCATGTATTACTGAAGCCTAGCTTGGAGAATTTTAAGCATCACTTTACTAGCGTGTGAGATGAGTGCAAGTGTACGGTAGTTTGAGCATTCTTTGGCATTGCCTTTCTTTGGGATTGGAATGAAAATGGACATTTTCCAGTCCTGTGGCCACTGCTAAGTTTTCCAAACTTGCTGGCATTTTGAGTGCAGCACTCTCACAGCATCATCTTTCAGGATTTGAAATAGCTCAGCTGGAACTCCATCACCTCCACTAGCTTTGTTCGTATATGTGCTGCTGAAGCAAGCACCCCACTAGCTTTGTTTGTAGTGATGCTTCCTAAGTCCCATTTGACTTCACATTCCAGGATGTCTGGCTCTAGGTGAGTGTGAGTGATCACACCATCATGATTATCTGAGTCGTGAAGATCTTTTTTGTATAGTTCTGTGTATTCTTGCCACCTCTTCTTAGTATCTTCTACTTCTGTTAGGTTCATACCATTTCTGTCCTTTATTGAGCCAATCTTTGCATGAAATGTTCCCTTGGTATCTCTAATTTTCTTAAAGAGATCTCTAGTCTTTCCTATTCTATTGTTTTCCTCTATTTCTTTGCATCGTTCGATGAGGAAGGCTTTCTTATCTCTCCTTGCTATTCTTTGGAACTCTGCATTCAAATGGGTTTATCTTTCCTTTTATCCTTTGCTTTTCACTTCCCTTCTTTTCACAGCTATTTGTAAGTCCTCCTCAGACAGCCATTTTGCTAGTTTGCTTTTCTTTTTCTTGGGGATGGTCTTGATTCCTGTCTCCTGTACAATGTCAGGAACCTCTGTCCATGATTCATCAGGCACTCTGTCTATCAGATCTAGTCCCTTAAATCTATTTGGTCAGAGTCATCAAAAGTTTCTGAATTTTGTATTTTTATAAACAGATGTAGGTTCACTGATATTTCACATGTGGATAATTTTAAAATTAGGCTTGAAATATTTATTTCAAGTTTTTAAAAGTGAGCACATAAGAGAATTGTTATAGGCAGCACATATTGTTTTCAGTTGTCTCATCATGTAATGAATGATGTGAAATCATTTCAAACATCCATTTTTCAAAATATTCTCTGCAGAATATGTGTCTTTCAAGAACCAGTTATTTTCTCACTCATCACTGAAATAGAAATTATCAAAATGGCAGCTCTGCCTTGAAGGGAGTGATTAAGCGTGTTCATGTCTTTGAAAATATCTTCCAAACAGCCTATATCCTGATAGCCATTTGTCATCCCAGAGGAAGACGGCAGATCTGTAGCATGGTGTTTTGTATAATAGAGATGTATAATATAACATCTTTATAGTCAACAGGTCTTTTATGTCTTTTGCCACAAATAGCTCCCTAAAACTGTGTCATTTGAAAGATGCCTGTGGATATTCCCCACATCACTGCAAAGTCCTGTGAGGCTACTCTACTTTAGAGGTCTTGTCTTCATAGAAAGTAGCCACATTTTTGACATCTCTAGCACTTGACACACTTCTGGCTTCAGCTTCTTTGCTGTAACATCTTGACTATGAATGAAGCAGTGCAGGATTTCATATGTGGAAATGTCTCTGTGACTTTATCCCAGAATATTTTTTATTCCAGAATTTTTTATTCCATTAAAGTAGCTATTCCATTAAGCATATTTTCCCATAAATCATTGTTTTTATTAAAGAAATTACTGTGAGAATATATCTTCTTTAGTACATGTTTTTCTTTAGTTGTTCATAAGAAAATGAGTTATTTGTGTATTTTTTTTGAACCAGACTAGAAGTCTTATACATTGACATGTCAGGAATATCTTTACTGTTTTTTCTCTATATAGAAAACCTCCTGTAGTGTACAATTTAAGTTTTTTATTTCTTTACATTTTCAACAATGTTTGTTGAGAATCTTTCAGTGATATTTGCTGATAAATGAATGTGTTTTGGGTTCTCTCCACATTTGTTTCCTTGTTTTTCAAGTATTTTTACCATGATAGGAGAAGTGTTTATCCAATCAGATGTGGTTGTTTGTCTTTCAATATTAAGCAAAAGAGGCTTCTAAATATTCTCATTCATTTTAATGATGTTATGTGAAGTACCGGACTGTTATCTGACTTGACTCGTGGCATGATTGGAAGTTCACGGAGGAAGTGGCTAGGGGAGCACTGTTGAGGCAGAGGAAAGAGCAGATGCAGTCAGATGATGCTGTGAAACCTGTCAGTTATTCTGCCTGGTTCACCAAGGGATGAGAGTAGGGAAACATCAGGTAATGAGAATGAAAGTGTCAGCAGGAGCCGGACCTGAGGTTTTCTTTAGGTAGAGTAAAGCTGTACAATGAGACTTAGTCCAGGTTCTTTTCCATACAGAACCTGAGGCAAGGATTAAATGCTGATGCGATCCTGGGAAGGGTAGTCTCAGGGAGTGAGAGAGAAAGTGAAATGAGTCACAGGTGGATGGGAGGTCGCACAAGGTCTGACATTACGGTGCTGACTGTTGCTTCATGAAGAAACGGCCAGTTTCTTAGCCACTTGAACTACCCTCAAATAGGCTGACCCAAAAAGCCATGTTCAAAGTCTTACATCAGAGGGTGTATGGGGAGGGAATTCACCTGCTGGCACCCTCCCTTCTCTTGTCTCTCACTGAACAGAGTTCACCCACAGAGTGTTAACTTCCTGCCCATCTGGCTTGCGTCACCAGGCACCTTCCAGAGAGCCAGACTCCATGCTTCGTAGTGTAGTGCTTCATCTGGGTCTAGGAATAGAAAGAGGGGCCAGAGACTTCAGGGGTCAGCCTCAACAGCAGGACTGCATGGGCCCACATGGAACTGGTCATTGTGGCAGAACAAACAGCCCAGGGCCGGTTGACAGGTGAGGCCGAGAGAATGAGGCAGGCTGAGGGTCTGCCCATTATAGGTGACCTCATGTGCTCCTCAGAGCGGCTTGTGATCGTCCATTGCGTGTGGCTCCTTAATCCGCTACAGGGCTTCCACTGCTGTCCTCCCTGCTTCCCCAAGTCGGCCACTCAGTCACAGAGCTGGCTTCAAGGTGGTGACTAGTTGTGATTTCCAGAAACACTTAAGGCAAGTGGGTTGGTGGAATAAGCTACACTTTTTGTACTGGGGCTGGTCCTAAGGCTCTAACCAACATCGTCTGTCTCCGTTATCACACATTCTGTATTTCCCTACCCCCGGCCAACTGTTGGCTTGTCTAATTGCTCTCTTACTGAAGTGACCCAGAACTTCTAGTGGGCTGACCATTTACTGGCCCTGTAGTTTTTGGATCACAGATGTTATATTTTCCATTAACCTTTATCAATGGGCGTGGCAGTTCTGAGAGAGACTTAGTGAATCGCCTGTTTCAGATATTGTTCCCTATTATCCCCTTTTATGGAGGGTCAACTCCATCTCCTTAATTACTTCAGTCAGATGGTAACTCATTCCTTTGACTGTTGAACTGTTGGCATGAAAGCCCCAAGTGGTCAGAATGTCATAAGTTTTACGTTCAGTGAAACGTATTATAAACACAGGCAGAGGTGTTCCTTCTGAGAGAACTAGGACTTCTGATTGGGCAGGACCTTAGATGGCAGGAAATAAGAGTACATAAACTTTAAATGGACTCCTATGTAGATGATAAGGGGGCCGCTTCTACTTACTTGATTCTTGGATCCATATATTCTTAGTGGTGGAAGCATAATACTATATACCAGCTGTTGACTTAGCCAGTACATTACTTCCTAGAAAACAGCAACCAAACCCCACAAGATATTGGACCCATCACTGAGCCTTCATTAGACCGTCTATCATTTTGTTAGTCTGGTTGCTTTTAGATGGTAGAGTACCTGATCTTGTGGTTACTGTTTAGAGTAACTGGGAAGATGTTTGTTTTTTATTTTTTTAATAAAGCCTTTCTGGGAATTCCCTGACAATTCAGTGGTTAGGACTCTGCCCTCTCACTGCCGAGGAACCATGTTCAATCCCGGATCAGGGTACAAAGATCCCACTAGTGCTAAGTACTTAGCCTCTCAGCTGTGTCCAACTGTTTGCGACCCCATGGACTGTAGCCCCCCAGGCTCTTCTGTTCATGGGGTTCTCCAGACAAGAATACTGGAGTAGGTTGCCATTCCCTTCTCCTGGGGATCTTTCCCACCCAGGGATTGAACCCACATTTCCTGCATTGCAGGTGGATTCTTTATCATCTGAGTCACCAGGGAATCTCTTTAAGATCCCACATGCATGGTCAGTAAATAAATAAAGCCTTTCTGGTCACATTGAGTTTGAGGTGTCTATAGAACATCTGTGTGAGTATGGATGAGGAGTTTGAATAGTGCCTAACAGATTTTGGAATTCTCAGCCTTAACAAGGAGGTTGTGGATGTGAAGAGAAAGGGCCTTGTAATGGAATCTGGGGCTCACCAGTGTTTAAAGGGAGGATTGATGAAGAGGAACAGTGGGTGGGACAGAGAGTGAAAGTGAGATACAGCAAGAGAAGTCGGGTCCTTGAGGGCAAGGAACTAAAGAACCTCCAGAAGAGAGGAAGTGAGTCATCAATGGAGCTGGGTGCCCTGGAGATAGTCAGCCAGGTAAGGACTGAGACATCGCCACCCTGTTGCTGTTGGTGATCTTGGCAAGAGGAGTATCCCAGCTGATTCCAGACAGAAGCCAGACTGCAGTGGGTTTGAGAGTGAAAGGGGAATGTGGAAGGGAGGATGTGGAAATGTACAATGCTTTCAGTGAGCTGAGAGTGGAGGACAGAGTGAGAAACTTATCTCCAAGTGGATAGGCAGAATTCAAAGTGGACTTCCTTTGGCTAATCCTTTTTTGTATAATCCTTTTTTGTTTGTTTGTTTGTTTTGAGATGGGAGATACATGTGTGCAGATTTAGGCTCCTGGGAGGGAGCCAGCCAAAAGGGAGAGATAGAAGTTACAGGAGAGAGAGGTGAGTGAGGCGGGGGAAGGCTCAGGTCACAATGTTTCAGCCTGTTTTGTAAGGGTTTCTAGATGAAGAGAGTGAGAAAAAAGGACTTTCTTTTGGAGGAGCTACTTGATGTAAATAAACCAATGCTATAATATCAATGTTTAGGCCTCAGCTCCCTGAAGTTGCTGAGCCCCTCTGCAGATAATAGCGATGGCTGATGGATGGGTTTTCATGGCCTCCGCTGAGCTTTCTTGAATTAGTCAGGTTGAATCTGCATAACTCATCCATAAAAAATTCCTGCAACAATCTGATCCTATTGCCATCCCAGTCCCAGTGTAAGCATCTCGATCGGACATTTTATTAATTAGAGGCAGAGTTTATCTTCTCTCCTGTGTCACATTTCATCATGACAGATGTGTCTCATTCCAGGTTCCTATTTACATAGCACACAGACATATTGTCATTACAGATAATTAGTCTTAAAAGAACCAGCTTTTAAAACACCCAAGTCTTAAGTTTCCCATTCATCCATCAGCATTTTAAACAAAAATATGTCTCCTCTCCCATTAGGTTCTGTGTCTGGTTTTATTTCTGCTCAGACTGTCTGTCCTCCTGTCTGCCGGTGGGGGAAGCACAAAGGGGTTCAGACGAGGCTGTTGCTCCAGTATTCACAAACTGCTGACATTCTTTCCTATGAAGATAACTAAATCACCAAACTTGATGAAATTTCATGAAAGAGATGTTCTGTGGAGTCTATGAATACAACTATTAATTTTAAAGTCAAAGATCTTGGATTTTTTGTCAGCTTGGCTATTTCTTCACTGAGAATTAAAAATAAATTATTGCATATTAACAAAAAATATGATAACATGGGGATCTTTTTTGTCAAAGAAACATATTACAATAAAAAATCTAAGTATTAATAATATAAATTGTCTTGAACATTTTCTAAGAGATTTTACTTAATATATTCTGGAGGGTCTTGATCATTCTGATTAACTTGGTCAAGAGTAGGGGCTGAGAGCTACATTTCTAACAAGCTCCCTAGACCACCCTTTAGGTGGCTCTGCTGATTAGTGAGAGAGCCGATTTTTTTCAACATCAACAACCTCAACAACATCAACAACCGAGGCCCTAATATGGAGAACAATATTTTCAAAATGATGAAAGAAAAGAAAAAAGAATTATCCATCTGGTAATGTATGTCTAGTTAAAATTGCATTCAAGAATGAGATCAAAATAAAGACATTTTCAACAAACAAATTTGCAGGGTTTATTACCAACAGGTCCTCATTAACACTTCAAAAAGAATTTACTTTAGGAAGACAAAAAAGTAAACTAAAGGTGTGTCTGAGATGCAGGAAGGAATGATGAGCAAAGATTAACATATGGATAAATGTAAAATGTTAAGTCCATGACAAAAATATTTAATTTTGCAGGTTAAAAAAAATTAAGATCAAAATGTAAATGGGGTAAGAATATCTGGCAAGCAAGTGGGTTTACATAAAACTTCCTAAGATATTTTGCTTGTTAAACGAAGGTGAAAATATTAACTTTAAAGTTACGTATAAAGATGAGCTTAAAAAATTTTATCTTCCCTGGTGGCTCAGAGGTTAAAGCATCTGCCTGCAAGGTGGGAGACCTGGGTTCGATCCCTGGGTTGGGAAGATCCCCTGGAGAAAGAAATGGCAACCCACTCCAGTATTCTTGCCTGGAGAATCCCATAGACGGAGGAGCCTGGTGGGCTACAGTCCACAGGATCGCAAAGAATCAGACACAACTGAGCCACTTTCACTTTCTTTTCACAATAAAAATATAGTGAACAGCTTTCAAAATTTCGGAAGGAAATTAGATACATTTTAAAAATGGAATCAATCAAAAGGCAAAAAGTTAGAGAAAAAGCATCAAAATAGCAGGACAAATAGAAGCAAAATAGGGCAATAGAAATATTTTGAAGTTTACTGCAATAAAAATTTGCATTTCCATTTGGACCAAACTTACCAGTTAAAAAGGGAGTGTCAGATTAGAAAATAAATCGGGATTCCCAACTGGGGCAGCAGCTGTGATGGACCTCATGGGGCTGGGTGTCAGCGGCCATGGTGAGGGAGCTGTCCCCACTCCCAGTGGCTATGCAGGAACTTCCCCAAGGTGCTTCTCCCTGGGTGTCCAAGCTGCCAATTTGCTCACAACAAGGAGGTGCCCCAGGTCTGTACATACTTCCAGCAAGGCTCATGCTTCTGTGAAGATCAGTGCAACTCTCAGGACCTGCAGCCTCTAGTTGCCTGGAGTGGTGCAGCTACCATTCAGAACCATGTGTCACCTTGCCAGGGTCCCAGCTGGTGCTGACCCACAGAAACTTGGGCTCACCTTCCTGCCTTCTGTGACATCAAGAATTGTGCCTTATACTTTATCACACTATTCTGGTCAGTAATTTATAATGCTCAGATGTTAAAAATATGTATGAGAAACTTCAAGTATATTAATCCAATTAAGTTTGTTCATGTATGGTGAAAAAGAGTGGAACAAACTCCAGTGCTTTGGACACAATCTTTCTATTATACAAAAGTCATTTGGAAAGACAGCTATAGCTCTGTACACCACTCAACACTATCTGAAAAAAATTAAATATAAATATGTATGAGTGAGCTAAGTCACTCAGTCATGTCTGATCTTTGTGACCCTATGGACTGTAGCCTGCCAAGCTCCTCTGTCCATGAGATTCTCCAGTCAAGAATACTGGAGTGGGTTGTCATGCCCTCCTCCAGGGGATCTTCCCAAACCAGGGATTGAAACCACATCTCTATGTCTTCTGCATTGGCTGGTGGGTTCTTTACCACTGGTGCCACATGGAAAGCCCTGATATAAATATAGCAGTTAACAAAGAGTATTCAAGGTAAGCACACAGATTGAACACATGCACAGACATGTAACTGAATGCTATTTAGAGCCAGCCCACCTAGGGCCCATAGCAGCAGCATGAGACTCCCCTACTGTCCCACATGGAACCTGTAATAATAGGTTTTTTTGATTATCTTTAGATCTTTTGTAAGGTCTGAAGCCTTACCTGTGTGGATTGAGGTCTTTAATACTTTAGTTTCTTCATTAAACAGAATTTGAGGAATAGAGGTTATGTTGAAAATTAAACTCCTTCAACTGATAATGAGCAATCACTGGTTTTGTTTTAGTTTGTTTGATTTGTGCTAAGCTGTTCTCCAGTCATCTCAAGGAGAACTTAAACTTTTATAAAGGTGACAAGTGAGATAATTAATCACTTTAGTTTGGTGTGAATGCTGTGGCTTATCATTGGAAATGTCAGTGTTATTAGTCTTAAAAAGAGAAATGAGCTTTATTTTCCTCTTGTGGTTCTCTCCTGATAGTTTCTGTGAGATTTTGATTTTCTTGGAGAGGGTGGTTCAGATGTTTTGGGGTTCTTTCCCAGGGGTTTGGTTCTTCTTTCCTGTTGTCAGGGCTGACCTGAAAGCCATGATGATGTTGAACATACTTGACTGCTGTGCCCTAGAGTGGATGAAAAGCATCCTTGTTTGAGGTTAGTGAGGTCATTGGTCCTCAGGTAGAACAGTCTGTCATGGAGACCTACAGCAGCTCCTTATGACCTGCAGTTCTTTGCCAGCTGGAGGCTGTTGAAAGGCAGATGGTCTTTGAAGACACAGCACCCTTAAAACTGGTTTGTGACCTTGTCTGGCTGGGATTCTCCCAGAAAGAGGCCATTGTGGGGAGGGAGAGGGCAGAGGGGATTGGCCGGTAACTCCTAGTCAACAAGTCTTTGCTCTCATTTCCCTCCCTCAACCTCCACTGCGCCATAAACTTTAGAATTGCCTTTCATTCCTATTTATCTTACAGAACCAAAATAACATAGCTTACATTTCCTTTACTCAAAATCTGAGGCTATTTGGAAAGCAGATAAATAGTTTGCGTAGCTTCTGGGGCAACATGAATAAAACTTAGCGCCTGAGAGATTCCTTTAAACGGAAATGGAAAATTGTTATTCACTCCTGATCAGTTTTCATTTTTTTCATTCTCATTTTAATTACTGAGTTTCCTTTCTCTAAAATCAAGTGTCTGAAACAGATCTTAATTATCCATTTTTAACTGCAGGAAGATTTATTATTCAAAGACCAACTTGCAATCCAGAATAGATGTTATTTTGTTCAGAGTTTAAAGGGTTGGTCAAATATTTCTTCTAATGGAAACATTTTGTACCAAAAACCTCTAGACGAAAAGGTAGATAGCTGAAGAGATGAAGATTTAAAGCAAATCTGTAACAGAGAAAGATGACTAAATCTTTTGAAATCTTTAGGGCATGATCCCCATGGAGTAAATGGATTAAATTAATATAATTAGAATGAAACAGTCTTTGCATTCATATAGCATCTTATTTTTCCGAGATCTCTTTTTGCCTTATATCTTACATAAATGATCCCTCTGAGATAAGTACTCTTAAGCCTGTCTTGTCTTTTAAAGAGTCTATCTAAACCTCTTTATGTGCTTCCTTAGAAGGGATTTTCTTTGTAAAATGAGCCTTTTTTGATCTATAGCCTTAAAATATAGAACTCTATCTACCTTGAGATGTAAAAGGATCATCATCTTTCTTCAGATCTCTGTAGCCTGGTTTATAAAGTTTCTTTACCAGAGAAACTTAGAAAATTATCATTTTTGAAAGTCTTTAATTTCTTTTTTTGGGGGGCCATGCCATGTGGCACATGGGATCTTAGTTCCCTAACCAGCGAACAAATCCATGCCCCCTGCAGTGGAAGCAGAGTCTTAACTGCTGGACCACCAGGGGAGTCTCATGGAAGCCTTTAAAAGTGGCAGAGATCTTTGTCTCTTGGTCATGATTCTATTGTGGTTCTTCTGGAAGGGAAATGTAAGACATAGACACAAAGGTGTCTTTAGAAAAGAAATAATGAAAAGTAGCTGTAGAGATGTCATCCCAGGTGTTGGTGGTATCCATAAGTAGATAAATAAGTTGATAAAGAATCCACCTGCAATGCAGGAGACCCCAGTTCGATTCCTGGGTTGCGAAGATCCGCTGGAGAAGGGATAGGCTACCCACTCCAGTATTCTTGGGCTTCCCTTGTGGCTCAGCTGGTAAAGAATCCACCAGCAAGGCGGGAGACCTCGGTTTGATCCCTGGGTTGGGAAGATCCCCTGGAGAAGGAAAAGGCTACCTACTCCAGTATTCTGGCCTGGAGAATTCCATAGACTGTATAGTCCATGCGGTCACAAAGAGTTGGACATGACTGAGTGACTTTCACTTCACTTCACTTCATAAGTGGAAGCATCCCACAGGCAGATAGAAGTCAGAAGCAGAACTTGGTAGAGAGATCAAGACTTACATATGAGACTGTTGAATACAAGAATGATGGTTAAACCTGTGAAAATAAAATATCTATTAAAGAGATGAGAGTCAAGAATGTATGTAGGGTGAAGGATGAAGAAGAGGGAAAAATCCAAGTGAGAGTCTGAAGGGTGTGCTTGGAAAACTAGGAGAATACAAGGGTGTTCTGGTGTCCTGAAAGATGAAGATGGGGAGGAGAACATTTCAAGAGCTGGATGATCATCTATGCCAAATAGAAATTAAAGTAATTGCAGTTGGTATTTCAATTTATTTTTGGTTAGATAAACTTGAAGGAACTGGGATAACAGTGGAAAGGGTGATAGATGATGCTGAAAGGGGCTGTGGAGAAATGCCTTAATAACAAAACAGAGGACATACCAGCTGGTGTATTGCCTGCCAGAATTGTTGAGTGAGAAAGTTT